ATTAAGGTATCAAAGAGGTAACACAAATGTTGTTTAAGTTATTATTAGGATGTTTTAAAAGTCTGTAGAGCTTCCACAGAAAACTCAAGAAAAAATACAAAATGGATTTAAAAAGAAACAGACAGGAGCCTGAGATCAATACAAGCGTTCATGGTCCCGGTGAGAGGTGAGAGTGATGAAGTGAAAAACTGTGAGCCAGCACGTCTCTAACATTTGTAATTTTAAATGTGAGAGACGTGTGAGCAAATCATCTCACCTGGTGTAATTCCAACTACTGTAAATCAGTTCTTTCTAGTCAGATTGTGTTAAAATAAAACCCAGATTTAGTCAAAACTGAGTGACAGAGCTTCAGACAGAGCAGGGCTTTCTACTGACATCTGCTGCAAAGTATCATTGGTGACGCACATGGCTCTGTCTTATGAATTTGTATTAGTGTGTTTCACAATTTGACGCACACGAGGGTCTCATTATGTCACAAACTATGGCTTACAATATACTTTAGGGGGCAACAAAAACTTGGAAATACGAACTTTACTCATTTACAAGAATCCAGAGGTGGGACCAAGTCGGTGTTTTGCAAGTCTCAAGTAAGTCTCAAGTCTTTGACCTCAAGTCTGAGTCAAGTCCCAAGTCAAAGACAGGCAAGTCCAAGTCGAGTCTCGAGTCTCTGGTCTATAAGTCCAAGTCAAGTCCAATTAGTCTGCTTTGAGCTTCAAGTCATTTCAAGTCTTCAAACCAAAAAAGTACCAAATATAGATTACATTTTTGCAATTTATATGAATTTTAAGCCAAATTGTTCTTAAATAGTCACAGTATATGAGTATTCATTAAGAGATTATTTATTAAGACTTGTAGAAATGCAGATTTTTCCTTTATAAATGTCTTGACAAGATCTGAGTGTGAATCATGATGGTCAGAACAGAAAGAATTCAGATGTAAAAGTGCTAAATAACAGTTATTTTGTCATGTAGTCTGCACTGAAATTGAAGAATCATGTTCTCTGTAGTTCCCTCTGTTGTACTGTATTGTACTGTATATTACTGTAGTACATTTGAGTATCACAGTACTTCAGTTCCATCCACAGTACCAAACAGAAGTGGGAGGGACATGTTCCAATTTGTTCCTGAAAAAATAACAACAGCATTTATCAACTGTAAAGAGAAAAAGTATTTTATAAAAACATATTTAGGAGAAGCATCAAGTCTTCTCAAATCACAGGGCTGAAGTCCGAGCCAAGTCATTGACCTTCAAGTCCAAGTTGAGTCTCAAGTCTTAGTCCATTTTATCAAGTCAAGTCTCAAGTCCTAAAAATAGTGACTCAAGTCTGACTCGAGTCCAAGTCATGACTTGCAAGTCTCCATCTCTGCAAGAGCCTAACTTAATAAATGCTGCTTTAAGGAAACACTACTACACTGAAAATCCTGTGAATACAATATGTAGTACGTATTACCCTTCACTGGCATAAATGAATGATGGAGGAAATGTAAGAGACTGTGGCTGCAGAACACTTGCAGATGTAAAAGGTTATTCAATCTTTAATATAGTATAATTCACTGTCTGGACAGTTATTCCCAGGTCACATCTATATTATGTGAATGTAATTATTTTCCGATTATAATCAACCATAATTCTTTCAGTGTATTACGCAATTATTGGAACATGGTGCAGCCTGTTAATTGATTCTTCTCTTGTAATAATTTTCTACAGAATCTATCTATTGATTAGAGCCTCTTGCTTCATCACTAAGATACAAGCTGCCATAATGTACCCTACATATTTGATACGGGAGCTATTTTTACAGCTTGGGTCTTTCAACTGTATGAAAAATTGAGAAGGACCAGAGAAGGGGTGGAGAGAGAGTGGGATGGATGGGGCACAGGAGGGGGCATGAAGAGGGGCGAGGGGGAGAGGAAAGGCGACAGATTAGGTGTGAACGAGGAACCGATTTGTTGTAAGAAAAGAGACAAATGTCAGTGGATGGGGAGAGCAGAGCACCAGGAGATGACCTTCTACTACCATTCACCTAAATAACATGGCTCTATCACTACAATACAGGCAGGTACCGTGAAGCTGCAGCTACAGGGGCATTTAGACATTAAGCTGACAAAACTGGAAATTAAAGATGCACTAGATGCACTATGTTTTTCATTGAAATGCCATTGCTTTGCCAGGAATGTTGTATGCCATTAGACTTACCTTCTCTAGCATGTATGCATGTAAAGTGCAGTGTCATTTTTCAGGTGGAAACAAAACCACCTGCTTGTTTCCATGGGGATGTTATGGATTTGCCTGTAATGCTACATAGTAAAGCATTAAACTTATCTAACTAGTGTTTCAATGCTTAAAATTACCTTGAAAAATATGTGTTCTTATTGTGAGGGAACTTTCTTCTGCTTAGACATCTAAACTAGTCTCTGTAATGCCATGGTGTGGAACATTTCATACAAAGTAATACAAAGAGACAAGGTGATGGATAGCCAGGCTGGTGCCACCTAGTGCCTCCATTCGATTTCATTTCTCTCCAGCGACTAGGAATACACTAGACGGTTTGCATCTCCGGAAGTTGTAGACTGTGCACTGGCCAATCAGTGAAGAGCTGTGAAGCCATGATGTCAAACTCAAGCGCCTGTCTGGGTCCCTTTTGTGGAACAGCACAACAGTAAACAAAGTGGTCCAGATGGATGTAGATGAAGCCATACATTCTGTGTTGGCAACGATTCTCAAGATCAAGGAGTTAAAGCCGGAACAAAGAGAATGTTTGGTAAATTTTATCAAGGGGAAAGACGTTATTACCCTTCTTCCTATGGGATTTGGTGCATTACATACTTCACGACCAAATAGCAGCGATTGGTTAAATAAAAAAAGTGAATGAATCCTAATGCTGCGAGGTCAGACGGTTTCCATGAAGTTAAACTGGCTGATGAATCAGGCTAGGTGATGGACCCTCCAACAGAAAAATTTAATTATCCACCCTTAATTCCTGTGTTGGGAGTTTTTATCGGCCAAATTTTAAAAACATGCATTCTTCGTGTGAGTGGTGCTGCCTGTGCACAGATCTGAATTATAAGTTGGCTTGTCTCCGCTGATTGATGTTTTTAATGCCATACCCTGGAACATTCAAGGCAAATCAATGGCATATGGTGGTACATGTAGACACAAGCAGGTGGCAAATCCTCTGTCAAAAAAGTTACATACAGTAATGTGCATTTAACCCTCATTGATAGCAGTAGTATAAGTATTTATACTTTTTTTTTTTCTCATTTAGAGCAGTAACTTTGACCTTCTATGATTGAAATATATTGTAGTGTTTTATCTGTTGACCCTGTTTGTACCTTTGGCATGATGTTATCAAAAGTTCTTTATTAATCACAAATAATTTTACACCTGTATGCTAAAAACAAACTAATTTATTTTGTTAGCTTTGGATATCCTGATGCTTCTGATTGTTGTCATGACACATGGCTTGTCGTCTCAGTGTTTGGCATGTCTTTAAAGTGTCACTTTGGTGGCTTTTTTCACAGTCCTGTCCTGGTGATAATTGAAAATACACAATAAACAAAAGAAAATTTCCTTGAATGAGCAAACCCCCCATAATGATTATTAGCAGAGATGTTTTTGAACGCCCTGTACAACTATAAGTGAAATCCTTTATTCACATTCATTCACACTGTTCATTCACAATACAGAGCTTCTCCTAAAATGTATGAATCTAAAATGTATGTTTATTTTCTTGCTGTGTGAAATAACAAGAGCTTTGCATGCCTCTGTGAGAATAATAATTACTTGTGACATCCCTCATCAAAAAGTCCTCAAAATCCTTTCATGACAGGAATGACTTTGGTCCATGATCCTGCTAAACAGTTATAATAGCTACAGTATGTAACAACTAAAATATGACAACAACATGAAGTCAACATGAAGAAATTACTATTAATGATAGTAGCAGAAATATTAGCACAAAAGGCATCTCATGACATTAACTGTAATAGGAAAATGTGGCAAAAGTGGCACCACACACTCCCCAAAATGGTTTCACCCCTTTGTAAAGCCACAGTACACACACTTTGGATTGTTTAAAGTATCGAAAGCCAGATACTAATTGAAACTAAAAAGAGCAGATATAAGGCAATTGAGAATATAAAATAAAGTACTATGATTTAAAGGGACAGTCCAGAATTTTGGACATAGGACCTCATTTCCTAGTGAGTCAGAGTGCTGGAGACGTGTGGAGACACTTTTTAAAATATTCCATCCAGTCCTTGTATTTGCAAAGGTCGCTGGTGCTAGGCTAGTGCATGTCAATGGCCACAGTTATCCTGCCACTAAAAAACACTTACCCACTCCACAAAACACCCAAAGCAATTCTATTATTATGACAGACTGTCCATGTAAATGTCTATGTTGAAAGAATAATTTTAGAAGTAAAACCAACCTTGCATTTGAAGGATTTATGTCTGAGCAGCAGCAGCAGCAAATTGTACTTGGACTGATATCATCTAGCACCTACCTTACTGGCAAAGTAAAATTCCAATGCTGCTGAGAAAATAGTCCCTCAACATGCAAAGATTCATGTGATGCAAGGGTAGTTTTATTACAAACATTATTCTTTCAACACAGACATTTACATTGACAGTCTGGCGTAATAATAGATTTGCTTCAGGTGTTTTGTGGTGGTGGGTAAGTGGTTTTTAGTGGCAGGATAACTATGTCCATTGACATGCACTAGCCTAGACCCAGCGACCTCTGCAAATACAAGGACTGGATGGAATATTTTAAAAACACGTCTCCAACACTCTGGCTCACTAGGAAATCAGGTCCTCTGTCCAAAATTCTGGACTATCCCTTTAATGTTGTGTGATTGTTTCTGTAAAGAGTGTTTTTTATTATCATCGTGGTATCAGAATTAGTATCAAGTGTCGAGTCTATTCCTTAGTATCCAAATCAAGTTTATAATGTTAGCATCAACACTACACCCACAGCACATGTCTTTACCCACTCACCCGTTTGGTGAGCTGTGTGTCCATCATGAAGTTGTGAACGTGCTTCTCGGCCTTGGTCAGCTCCAGTTTCCTGGCTACCACAGCAACCACAAGAGCCGTGCAGCCCGCTCCCTGCAAACACAAACAGAGGGAAGGGTAAGTCACTCATGTACTGTCACAATAATGACTATCATTACAGGTCAGTATAAACTCAGGAACAATATTATTATGGGGTCAGTATTTATTGCAGTGCTTCTCGGGGCAGTAGTAGTATGTAAGCTTCTATTCATCCTCTGCAGGTCTAGTGTTTGCTTAATTTAGAGTCTATTCTATTTACAACACTTCTTGTTTTCAACTCCCGTAGCAAAGGTGTAGTTCTGTTTTGGACCTGGTCTTGCACTAATTTAACCTGAAAAATTCCTGGTTTAGATCTGGTGGTACTGGGAAAGCCAAATTCCTTCTTGTGTGGCTCTTGGGGTAAAATGATTTATTGTATTTTTACCATTATTTGCACTGTTGTGGAACTTGTGAGTTATATAACACTTTATACTTGAGTTGATACCTGTTTTTTATGTTAACTAGGGATGTAACAGTAACCGAAATATCGTGATATTGTATCGTCAAACGTGTTACAGTAGTATTACAATATATCGAATCACAAGTTCCTTTGCATAAATGCATTGTTTTACAGCTGCAGTAGCTAATAAAATTCAGGAACTACATATCCCATCATTCATTTCAGTACAGACAACATGAAGAAATATGTTTTTACTTGAATTCTTGAGATTATGACAGTAATAACTCACACTAAATTCTTGTCAGGGTATTTTAAAAGCAAAAAAGTGTCCTATCTACAATTATATCAGCCTCTCCAAAATATCACAATAAATATCCTACCATCAGATGCATATCATGATAATATCGTACTGAGAGATTTGGATATCGTTACATCCCTAATGTTAGCTGTTTTCAGTTGTGCTGTCAATTTATTGGATTTTACGCTTTATTTAATACATTGGCCAATATATATTCTACATAGGAGTTAAAATATGAATTAATGAATAATTAATATTAACTTTATATTTTTTGTATTTGTATTTTTTCTGGTTTCCAAAGAGATCTTTCAGCTTTGACTAGATTAGAGTGTTGTCTTTCTCCATGGAGACAAGCAGTTCATGCTTCCAGTTCAAATTACATGGTGTAGAAAATCTCCTCACAGTATATGAATCCATGTCTTTTGTTTGTAGGAACAAAACACCTGACTGAAAACACGCAAGGTGCCAAACTGTGGAGCATTACAGGCAAAGCAATAACATCTCCATAAAGACAATCTGTACCTGATTTGTACTTTTAAAATGTGACTATTTCATTTTAAACAGTTTGCAATGGTCCAAAGTAATTCCTCACTTTCCTTATGCATTCTGAATTCTAATTTCATGTGATGAGCGATAAGTGAAAAGTGCTTTCCATAGCTCACAGATCAGATTTTGCTGTGACAGTAAAGATAACAACTTCTAGCAAGGTAATGTGTGTGTCCTGATTATCCAACAAGACCCGCTTTACAGTTCAATTCAGACAGCACACATCTGACTTATTTTGCTCAAAAGCTGCTTAAACATGCCTTTAATATTACAGTTTATCCACTGCAATACGCCCTGCTACAAAACGTGTGACAGACCTGCACCCGTGGAGGAGCGGAGGGCCAGAAGATTGGTAAATGGGTTGAGAAAGTGGCCCAGATGATTAAACAATGGTAGGACAAATAAGAGCGAAGAGCTGTGAATGAGATAGGAGAGGAAGAAGAGGAGGCGAGGATTAAGGAAAAGGTCTGTTCCAACACTCGCGATTCCTCGTGTGTAGACCCAAGCCAATTCTATTTTCACATCCTATCCATCTGGTGTGAGATTCCCTCTATATAACGGCTATATGTAGCTGAAAAATCCGAATGTAAAAAGCATCAAAAGATTGACACCACCTAATTTCATTTAATTAGATGCTGTCAATCTGAATTACATGGTGCCAGTCTTCTCCAAGGCCCCTGCAGTAAGTGTTAAAGAAGACATATTATGCTTTTGTTTGATATAATCTGTGACACAAGTGGGCCATTATTTTACATTATTTAAATCACAGTTTTAATCTACAACAACTTAAAGGGGCCGTATCAGTTTCATGTAATAAAGTGCTTAGTATACACTGTAATAGCAGCTCTTCTCTTAGTGTCAAAATAAGACTGCTGTGTGCTGCCTGCATCTCAGTATAAAGTGTTTTTATACTTTGCAAAACAGAAAGTAATGCTGGTGCACTGGTGCTAGTTGTTGTTGCCATAACTGTGACGGTAAAACTCTGCTCTAGCCTCTGAAACTTCTGAAAAATGCTTATAAACTATTCACAGTAAATGATTAGGATGCTTAGAAGTAGAAAAGTGTGGAATAAATTGTGACCACTGCAAACCTTTTAACTGTTTTTCACACTTTTAAGGCAGTAAAAGAGTAGTAAAAGTAAAAAACAGGTACAGAGTAATAAAGAAAAGAAACTAGTCTGCCTCTTCGTGGCAAGTCATCATGAAAATTCTGACAACAAAGTGCCACTCTGCCAGACCGTGCTGACAACACTTCTTATGGATAGCTGCAGTTCATGGTGAGCAGTGGATTTTTTTCCCCATTAGTGCCAAAATGGCAAAGCACCGCTGTTGAAATGTGTACCACTAATTAAGAAAAAAAAAGTAATATCTGAAAATGAAGTGGGTGTGTATGTGAGAAAGAGGTAATCAGTAATTTTTGGGGTAATGGCGTCTTGAATTCAGGATGATAAAGATTACTCTACCATGCATGGATCCCTCAAAATGGTAAATGAAAAGGGAAAACTATTATAAAATGACTAAAAGCTCATAAAAGTTAATTTTGCATAATGCGCCTGCTTCGTAGTGTAAAACAGAGCTGTGTTTTTCGCATTCTAGCCTGTCCCAACCCACACGGGAATATGAGGCACATTCATCAAGGAGAGGAGAGTGACAGCAGTCTCTCATCCAGAAAAACATTCCTGAAAGACGAAAGAGCAGAGGAGCCCAAACGCAGCACCGAAGGCAGACTTAATTAACTTTGAGATTAGGTGTTTCGCACGGAGGGTGTTGTAGTGTAGAGTGCACCCAGGTTTTTCTGAAGGAGCGAAAGAGAGAGGAGACAGGAGCAGGAGGGGGCGAAGGAGGGAAGATAAAGAGAGGAGTGTGATGAGGAAACAGGGAGAAAGAGGGAAGGAGAAGAGGTGTGAGCTATGAAGGGAGTAAGAGAGAGAGAGAGAGAAAGAAATGTTAATGAGGTCATATAACTCCTGGATCGAAAACTCAAGTGTTTAATAATAATACGAGTGCTCTTGCTTCCTGATTATGAGTGTGTACATGTCAAAGTTGGGCAAACAGAGTTGCAAAGTCAAAACACTTAAAGATTCATTGTGTAACTTTTCTGGTGAAGCATCTGCCACCTGTTTGTCCTCATGGAGATGTTATTGTTTTGCCAAAGTATAGACTTAAACAGGCCAAGATGCAGTTTAAATTTGTGGAGAGGCAACCCCGCTTACAGTAAAGATGTTTGTTTTTCAAGACAATTTTGAGCAGTATAAGAAAACACATGATAGATTTGTTTAATGCCATACTATGGAACTTTCTAGACAAAACAATAACATCTCTGCAACCTCTGCATTATTACTTATTTGATCTGGGACTGGATTAAACCTCTTAATGTGAGTGTAGAAAGGATCAGCGCAGCGAGAAGCCTGCCAAGGATTGAACAAAACAAATCAGAAATAACCAAGAAAATTCAGCTTTCTAAACAGTGACTGACATCCAAGATTCAAAAACAAACTGCAAAACTACAGGTCATCCAGAAATAACTTCAGCTTGAGTCAAACGCACAAACTGACATTAGTGCCCACACGTGTACACTCCTCCACTCTATTTGTGTTTAGACAACACCTATGAATAAAATATGACTGACGCCAATGGAAAACCCTCAGAGCACTCACAGATAGACTTCACAGTACAGAGAACAGTACAGTATGTCTAAGTGGAGAGGGAACCGTGGAGAGGTGGGCGTCGAGGAACTTGAGTTAGCGTGACATTACAAAATTCTCAACTCCCTAGTTTTAAATGGAGCTGGAGGATGGAGTGGATTTCTTTTGAGGAATTTGCTGTTTAACTTTCAGATTGCAGATTCATTGAACTAGTTTACGGTTAATATCTCTGTAATTAATGGGTCTAACCACATGAAACAAAAACAAGCTCCTACTTTAACATCATATTTGTCAACAGAAGTGAACAAAAAGGGAATAGTTTTTTTTTTTTTTTTTTATTTTTACAATAGCTTCAGGAAACGGTGCCAATATTCAACACAAAAATGCGCTTGTTCTCAGTTGAAAAGACTTTAAGTCATGCGATTAACATAGAAAGTTTGCGAAGGTAATCCCTAACAAAACATTTTCAGCATTTTTGGATCGTAAGTTTGGATATTTCTTTAAAAAACAGTGAATCTCTCGTAGAGTTGAGTCAAAGGAGTCAAAAAGAACTGGTTAAAATGTACAGAAATGTGTAATGCAATCTAGCAAGAATATGTGATCGTATTTCTGCACTATTGTGTTAATTTTCCTCTCACTCTTTTGCAATATTTGAAGTTCAATCTATACTTCTACGTGTGTTTCAGATTATACAAAGTTTGATCTAATTATAGTTATTAGAAGAGTATTATGTTATATTTATTACAGTCAGTATGGCCCACTTTATAGTCCAATGTCAGGTGCAGATGTGTGTGTACGTGTGTGGATTGTTGTCCTCCCCCTCAGCCTGGAGCGGCAGGGGGCTGATTGGTTTGTCAGATGGAGTTGTGTGTAAGTGTGTGTGTGTTGTACTGTATGCAGCGTGCGTTTGTGTGTGTGAGCTCTGACTGACAGCGCTGATGATCGCTGGAGAGCACGGGGTATTTTCCCATCTAGCACTGCAGCTACCTATGTGTCAGAGTACGAGAGGAATCACCCATCTGGAGTTCACACCTAAACCTCGCTCACACTGGAAAAGAAAAAATACTTTTTGAGAGGCGGTTAACAAATCGCATAGACTGTAATTATTTAAAGGCGCACTAACTTTT